GTATTACATAATTGCCATTTGTGATTTCCCCAATCACCTTCCAGCAAGTGAAGTCAATGAGAGAAGCTGGATTCACTTAACCACGTGATTCACTGAACAATTTCAGTGATTTGCTCAACCACCCTGGCAAAATGATGTCGTAAAATTGGGCATGACTCACTTAACAACTGCCTTGCTTAGCAACAGAAATTCTGATTTCAATTTTGGTCATAAGTCAAGGATTATCTGTGTGTTACAGACCAACACAGATAAATAGAATGAAATAGAAAAAGCTCCAAAATTCCCTATACCAAAATGATTGAATAAGTAAATTACCCTAATTCAATTGGCATTTAAACATGATAGTTAGTAATAAAGGGGTTATAGAGCTAATATGCTTCCCCAAAACTCAAGTTCTGATCCAGAAATTAAACACTTACATTCCTGCTAAGAGTCAACAAAACTTCAAAACAGAAATTTGCTTGAGGATGTAGGCATTTGGATTTTATCTGCTTCCCTACCAGTTTTCAGCTGCTTCAACCTGAAATGGCTGGGCTGATTAGGAATTTGAAATTTAGCCCAACTACTCAGGAAGGCACCAGATTGGGAAGGTTATTCTAAAGTTAAATTGCTAATTAACATGATTTGATCAAGTTAATTAAGGTTCACTACACCTACGAAGGCCAACAGCACCCCCTACTGGCCAAAGTAGGGCTCCATGAGCTGGAATACATTTTTACTCCCTTCAACAAATTAAGAAACATTCCCCATTCCAGATTTTCCATGCGGTCACCTCGACTGCATAGAAATACAAAAATCTGCCAAAGCAACAATGATTAGTGATTACTGTTGAAGCCTCTACCATTAATATTCTACTTGAATAGATGCTAGGATTTATAGAACTACCCCCATCAACAATAGCTGCAAATAGCTCAATTAATTAACATAGTATCTATAGTAAATGAGTTTTAAAAATGCTTCTTTGTACAAGTATCAGTAGTCTGAAAAAGAAAAAAAAGAAATAATAGTATTTGTTATATAAACTATAGCTGACTGGGCTTATGCTTTGCCCTTACCATGGATGCCATCCTAGAGTTAAAATATGATTTAATTATTATAGAGGAACCACCATAATTTTCTTGGCAAGTGGCTTACTTATTTCTGGAATTTTGTTTTTAAGACTGTGCAATGTTTTAGCTTCAAGGTCAGAAATGAAATAGCTTCATGCTTCTGAGTACTCAAAAGCAGCTTTTGCAGATTTGAACATTCCCAGTTTAACTTAAAACAAGGTTTCGCAACCCTGGCAACTTTAAGACTGCCGGGCTGATTGGGGGACTCTGGGAGTTAAAATCTATGCATCTTAAAATTGCCAAGGTTGGGAAACTGACTTTGCGTTCTTTCTCTAGAGTCTAGTGCAATCTCACTGAGGTATTCACCAGACTTAGATGGTCTTAAGTTTGATTGGTTCCTTCTTCCAACTCCATGTTTCAGCTCTTTATATAAATATTCTATTGAATTCAGATCAAGACTCATGACAGGCCACTTCAGAAGAATCCAATGTTTGCTTTTCAACCATTGGGTCATTTTAGCTGCTGGAGGACCCAGGATCTGTGACTGAGAAATAACTTTCTAAGAAATTGTTTGGCTCCAGAATGTTTTGATAATCTTGACCCAGCAGATTCAAACACCTGATACTGGAGACAGCAAAGCAACCACATAACATTATGGGCCTCCTTGTCCTTCATGTTTTACAATAGGGCTAATTTTCTTTTCTTGAAAAGTATTACTTTTCTTTTGTGAGCCTGGAAATGCTGTGACTTACTGAAAAGCTTTAATTGATCTCTCCAAAGAACATTCTTCTAGGATTGTGGCTTCTCAAAGTTGCATTTTAGCAAACCCCGCCTACTTTTTTTGTGTGTGTCTTTCAAAAATGGGGTCTTCTGTCATGGATACCAGTTTCAGATATCAGTGGATGGTGCAACTTGATATTGTTATACTTGATTGTGGAGGTCATCCAGGATCTTTGACATTTTCCTTGATTCTTTCTCTATCATTCTGTTCAGTGGTGAGATTCAATTTTTTTTACTACCGGTTCTGTGGGTGTGGCTTGGAGGGCGTGGCAGGGGAAGGATACTATAAAATCTCCAGTCAGAGATGGTATTTGCCGGTTCTCTGAACTACTCAAAATTTCCGCTACCGGTTCTCCAGAACTGGTCAGAATCTGATGAATGCCACCTCTGCTTCTGTTCAATCTGGAGTCAATTTTCCTCTTGCAGCCATATTCAGGGAGATTGGCTACAATCCTGCAGATCTTAAACATCTTGGTGAAAATAATCATAGTCACAGGAACATATAGCCCTTTGGAGATGAGTTTGCAACCTTTCCTGTTTCCATAAAATGGCTTTTCCAAGAAACTTCTCTTGACATTGCTAATGCAGAGTTTAGGCAAGTACCTATTAAGTGGTATCTAAACCATGAAAGGCTCTACTCAGAAATAATCATGGGCCAGCATTTAGGTAAGACATCACAAGCTTTCTTTGTTCAAAATAGGCAGTCCTAAACTTACAAGTTTGTTTAGTGACCACACAAAGTTACAATGGCACTGAAAAAAAGTGAGTAAGCGTTTTTCAGTTACAACCTCCTGTGACCAAAATTCAGATACTTGGCAACTGGTTCCTATTAATGTCCGCTGCTCTGTCCCAAGGTCATATAATCAACTTTTGCAACCTTCTGACAAGTCAAGTCAATGGGGAAGTCAGATTCACTTAACAACCATTATCAACTACAGAGATTCACTTGACAACTGAGGCAAGAAAGGTTATAAAATGGGGCAAAATTCACTTACCAACTGTCTCGCTTAACATAAATTTTAGGCTCAATTGTGGTCATAAGTCAAGGACTACCTGTACTTAATTCCACCACAATTTCCTTTTTTAATTAAATGTTGTTTTATTAATATTACAACATGGTATTTTAATTAGCTTTTGGAAATCTGAATGCCTTCTTGAAAATTCATGGAACAGAAAGTAGAACTATTTTAAAAGCAACAAAAATAGAATCTAGCAGAAGCAGCCTTTAGATACTGGGAAGAAATACTGGACAGTTCACAAATTCTAATGGCATCTGTGGAGTCTCACTTTCTGGAATTGCAACTTTGAAACCACTAGTTAACAAAAAATATGGTTGGTAGAAATCCTGAAAGCTTCAAGTAAACATATCAGGAAAGCACAAAGCTGGAGACAGTTATGTTATTGTATTATTTTCATGGTCAACTTTTTAAAGATTCACTTTCTCATTCAATTGGGCTCCATCCATCTTTTTTTACCGTTCCGTTTATGGCAACCCTTTGCTTCCAAGTAGATACCATGTCTTATTTCAAGGGAGTTATCAATAGCAACTTCCGAATTCTGCTACACACACTCTCTCTCCCTCTCTCTCTCTCTCTAAAATGCTTAGGGCTACTCCTGCACTAACCTCAGATTTCTTCCCCAAGGTACGTGGCAAAATCGATGATGATTCTGTCATTCAGGTAGAATTGCCATGCACTTTAAGGAAGAAGCCATAAGGGTAGAGGCCCAATTCTACCTGGATGACTGAGAATTTTCATTGATGTATTACCATGTACCTTGGGGAAGAAATCTGAGGTTGGCGCAGGAGTAGCCCTAAGGATTTTAGGAGTTGGTACGTCCAACAACTCTCTGCCTACCAGCTTGCTCAGACAGAAGAAGCTGCTTGGATGGCCAGTGAAACATCTCCAACCAAACAAAGAAAAATAAGTCTAGTTGCCATAGCTCTATTTCCAGACTAAGCCACAATACTATTTGTGGTTTTAATTTGGCACTTTGTGTGAACTCAGCCGCTACCTACTCCCCCGTTTTTATTTTTCAAAAAAATGAGGGGCATATTTCAGGAGTATTTTCCATGCAGAAGAGTATGTTTTCAGATATACCCTACTCCTTCATTCGGTCCTGCAGATTGAGAAAAGTCAATGCAAAACACTTCAAAATCATAGAAATTTCCATTAAGCAATCAGCACTCAAAATGGGACTAAGCTTATATGTGAAGTCTGATGATTACCAAGCATTATACAGGTAAACCTTGCTTAGTGATCATTCATCCAACGACTGTACAAGCGTACTGTACCAGGTATGCTGGCAAAAATAACTTTATAGCTCATTTATCACCCATGCAGTGTCCCTCAGTCAAATGATTACCATTAAAGTCAACAAGAATTGTGTTGTTCTTACAGATTTACCCCCCTTGCAGAACAAAGAAATTGGAGAGGGATTTCAAGAGAGTAAACTGTTCTTATACAGATTGAAAGCAATGTCATCACAATCTCTCCTTTGTCTGACCTTTTCTCCCACCTCTGCAGGGGAGATCGGAGAGGAAACGATTTCAAAAAGGAAAACTGAGTTGTTCTCCTACATACTGACATCCTGGCAGCAGGAAAGGGTCAGGCAAGTGAGAGATTGCCTACAGAAATCACTTACTTTTTTTCATTCCACCACCCATTAGAGCAGAGACTGGAGAGAAACAGATTTCAAGAGACCACCGTAAGCTGCTTACACAAAACATCTGCAGCATTCAAACCACAGACTGTGATGCAATCCCATTACTTTCAAGGCAATAAGATGGTACTCCAGCATTTGGGGAGTGGTTAGGAGGCAAACAAAACAAGCAAAAACGAAAATCAAACCAAAGGTGTGAAACTAACTTGTCTTGTTTCTTTCTGACCAAAAAGCAATTGTAGTGATGTGACCTTGTGGTCACCCTAGGGATCACTTCGCTTAGTGGCGTAATTGCTGATCCCAATTAGGTCTTTAAGCAACTACAATAAATGTAAAGTAATATCTTCACTTGATTCCATATTTGCCAATCAAGGCAGGAAAATTAGTTCAAAACAAAAGGATACCTGACAAATATTCATTTTACCCCAAAATAAGCTACTCCCCCCCTCCTCGCCTGTCAGATTTTATTCATTTTACTTACTATATTTTTTCTTTAAAAAGTTCACTTTAAAAAGGTAGAATGTTTCCTTTATTTATTTTTATACAAACTCCCCCCCCCCATAAACAAAACACAGAACTGTATCCCAGAATAATTAAAAAAGGGACAGAAAAAAATTGAAAAGGCAGGGAGGGGGCCTGAGCAGTCCAACTAGTCCACAGTAGAAAAATAAATCTTAAAAGAGGAGAAGGAAGGGAGCATAGAGAATAAGAGGAAAAGGACAGTCTCCCCAAAGGTGTATTTCATAGCATGATGTGATTCCCTGGGGTATAGACTGCTTAATAAGTCACCAGTTCTCATCATTTGGGGAAGGGGAAGGAAGCAGAGAAAAGAATATAAATATATATTTAAATGGGGGGGGGGAAGCAGCCAACTTTTCCCCACGAAGAGAAACTGTGAGGGGAAAGGATTACATTCAGAAACTCCATACATTCACCAAGAAAGGCAAGGGTACAAATGATGGAAGTCAACATTTATCCTGGAGCTACAACCACTCTCATTTCCTCCAGGTAGTGTTTCTTGTGGACTATCCAACTGCAGAGGCTTGAAGAAAGGGAGAGGGTATGAGGAGGAGGAGGAGGAAAGAGGGAAAGGACAGGCCAATTTCTCAACAACCCAAACAGGACCAAAAGTAGTGCAGACTAAGGGGTTGAAAGCCGATAGCAGAACCCCAAGAGGGCCATGTACCTAGATTGGGTGGGGAGAGCGGGTAAGCAAAAGTGAGGCTCCCTCCATACCCAGGGAAAGAGGGCAAGAAGAACTGAGGGGGATGAGGTCCATCCCCACCTCAAAGATTTCTCAAGGAAGGTCTAGAAGTCTGTTGGGTGTTCAAGCCCATCTGGTACCTATGGTCAACATCAGATCTTCCATCTAGTAATAGTTAGAGCAAAAGGGCTTGTTCCCTTATAATTATTATTATTATTATTTTTCACATCACCACTGTGTTCAAACAAATGAGTACTGGTTGTTCACAGCCCTGGCTCGCCCTTCTGACTCTTCTGGCAGAGGAAGGGATCCAACTCTCACAGATGCTCCCTCATCCACCTCCGGCTCCATCTGAGCTTCCTCTTCACTCTGCCCTTTAGACTCTGGCAATCCATGGTCCAGAGGAGCATGAGATGGCCGGGCTGGAGGAAGAGGAGGTGGCAGTGGCAGGTTACGAGAGATGCTCGGCTCTGTGGAGGGAGAGAAGAGACAGATGGACAGACAGAGAGATAGATGGTCTGGAATTAAAGCAGGAAAAGAGAATAAACACTGAGAACTAGTATTATTTCAGCAAGACACTCTTCATGAACAGATTCAGCATCCGCTATGTTACGGTATCCAAACCTTGTCAAATGCAATCATTCAGGAATTAATAAAGGAGAGTATTTGTAGTTCAGGGTTGACATGAGAGGTCTTTGGTGCTCTCTGAGCTTGTTGTTTTCTTACAGATATTTCATTACTCAAATTAGGTAACTAGCACTGTTGATGTTACCTACTTTGGATAATGAAATGTTTGCAAGAAAACAAGCAAGCTCAGAAAGCACCAAGGACCCCTTATTTAGGATTTGTCTGGGAATGGTTTTATTTTATTGATTTGGTTTCTAAAACTTGTTTTTTTGGGAGGTGTAGCCCCTGAATAAAATCAAGTTACTATTGTTGAAAGACTATATAAAGACAGGGGTTGATTACCATACCTTGCGGCTGTGCTCCACATTTAAAAAAAGCTGTACCAAAATAGGTGTTTTCTATAATCCATTATAATATGCAAAATTGGCTTAAAGCGTTCTGTTTCTGCATAAAGTCAGTTTAAATCATTTGTAGGCAATCCTTTGGTTAGGCAAGTTCCTATTCCAGGAACCTTGTGCAAACTGATTATACTGGATTGCACACTTTGCACATGCACAAAAGTACGATAGTTTTACACATGTGCAAAAACAGGTGCATTATGTTTTGAACTCTATTCTTAGTATCAGGTTTATTTAAGCCAGAATTTATGTGGGCCAGAAATTGTTTGAACTAGATTATTAATAGGGCTATTACCTACTCAAAACAATCTTACCTATTTAATTTTAGGTGTTTTTACTGTCAGTCTACAGTTGTTGCATTTTAAGGATATAAAGCTCTTTGAACTATCATTCAACAAGATGAAATCGTAGGGTATTGTAACATTTTAGATTTTTTTCTTATTTGATAGATACCATTCAGAGACTGCAATTGAAAATATTAATAGAAAAAGATTAATAATTATGGAGAGTTGGAAGGTATGATAAAAGCAGCATTGAAATTCCTATCCATTAGTCTATACTATCGTGTCCCAACCTCAGAACTTTAAGAGGTGTGGACTTCAACTCCCAGAATTCCATAACTGTCTGGCTGAGGAATTCTGGGAGTTGCAGTCCATACTTCTTAAAGTTGATAAAGTTGAGAAACAATGCTCTATACATTTCTCACAGAATATTGGCAACATACTGTGAAACCAGCATTAGAACATTATTTTCCAATGAAGTGAAAATTTCATATATTCCTAAAATTTGAAGGGATTCTTCATGTGTTTTATACTGGCAATATTAGATAATACATTCATTAAACTACTTTAAGAATGGTTACAGAGATGGTATTTAGCAGGTTCTGACCATTTCTGGAGAACAGGTAGCGGAAATTTTGAATAGTTTGGAGAACTGGCAAATACCACCTCTGTCAAGAGATTTTACAGTATTCTTTCCCTGCCATACCTACCAAACCACGCCCACAGAACCGGTAGTAAAAAAAATTTAATTCCACCACTGAATGGTTACATATACCAGGTGAACCCATAATGATTTGTCTTGTCCAGGTATGCCATAAAATTCCAACCTATATATTTAATGCTGAATATTCTGTTTAAAGCTAGAAAAACTAATATTTTTAAGAACATAAATATTTAGACTCTGTTACAAATGTCATGTGATATTTTAGATATATGTTGTACCTTTCTTTTTTTCTCCTCTACAAAACAATACCTATGTAATATACAGTACCTACTTTATCTCTATAACATATTTGGGAGCTATAAGACTTTTCAATTATGGACACCTTCCTGTGCTTCATAGTGGGGACAAAGTTTAGGGCAATCATGCTGGCCATTTTTCACTCTCAGTTGCCCTAATAAATTTTTCTCCAACCTAGAATTTATTTGATGTCTTGGATTATAACTCTCATTAAGACCAAGCAAATGGCGAAAACAGTCTAACCCAAACCATCTTGAAGGATCTGATTGGTGGAAAACTGGTTTAATAGTATTCTTCATGTTACATTATAACTTTACCCCGGAGGTGGGGTTGTTATCAGAGAGACAAATATCACCAGATTCAAAATTGTTTCAGCCATTTGAATAAGTAAATGTCTAGAAGAAAGGAGTAAAAGAGGCAGAAGTACTATTATTTGGAGTTTGGGTAGATAATCTTTAACTTTGGGCTGTCTATCACAAGTGAGGCTTTTCTGCAGAGTTTTATTATATCTAATACAATTGAATTATAGAATGAGTTGCCCAAATGATAATTGAAATAATAGTTCTAAGATCTCACTCTGCAGAATGCTAGAAGGTGCCTTATGCCAAACCAGACTATGGTTCCATTTGGTTAGAGAAACTATCAGTGACTCTTCAGGGTTCTGTTCAGAAGCCTTTCTTAGTCCTACCTGGAAATGCCAGAAGAAGCCCCTGAAATCTCTTCCCTGCCTCCTGGTGTCAGACACAGTGGATGGCGTAGACACTTCATTCACATGACCCATGGATAGCGATGGCTATGGCGTGGGGGCCGTGACACACGCACACACACGGTCATATCCCTGCCTTCCTCCTGTGGTACCTATTGCACACTTACACGCAGTCACCCGCGGAGGCAGCAGCAAGGATGGAGATGAGGTTGGGGGGCGAGTCAGGGTCCCCACTGAACCCAGACACTGGCGCTCGGCTCCCAGCCCGGTCCCGGCCTGTGACAGAGATGCCCACATCAGAAATAGGGATTGGGGATGAGGAAGAGAGGGAGCAGTGAACATGGGGATGAATGGGTTTATCCTCCCTCCTGCAACATGCATGCCGCATAGGGCTGGAAAAGACTGAATGGACAAGGAGTGGGGCAACAAAGGAGAGGCAGATTGGAACAACAATGGAAAAAGACGGAGGGAGATGGAGCATGATATGGACTAGCAATAATGTCTATGCTCTTTCCACCCCGTGGCTCCATTTCATCCTACACTCACCATGCAGCCTTTGTGAAGCAACCACGTAGCTGACAAGCGTCACATCACTGGAGCCCCCTGATTCGAGGGGGATGGGATGGACCCGAAAATGCTCCAGCATGTCAAAAATAGTCTGGAACCAGAGATGCTGAACACGGCACTGCCCTTCTTCATTCAAGGAGAGACGCAGATGCTAGGGTTGGAAAAGAAAGCTGGGTGAAAAACTACTGCTGAACCAGAGTCCAGCCTATCCTGTCCCAAAGCCTCTAAGTCTTGAGGCAACATGGGAGACAAAGAAATCTAATAAATAAAATAAGCACCATTTGATAGATTCCTCCTGCTACACTCACCTTGGCTTTCCCCTGGAAGTTGAAGGTCAGGACGTATTCACCCCGCCGTGTCTCACTTTGACGCACTAAGAAGACGCCATGGCTGTTTGCTCCTCCTGCTAACACCAACTGGGCAGCTTTGAGACGGGACAGGGTGCCATGGAACCATGGGTATTCAGAGAGTGGGTGCTCAGTGTCACCAAGACTACCTCCACCCGGGTCGGGTTCCCCTTGGAAAAGGAAGGAACCTGAGCAAGGAGAAAAGCAACGGAAGACAGCCAAACTTCACTTTGGATCTTGTTTCCACAACATTCAACCCAAGAAGATACTGAGGTTGCGTGGCACAAGGGAAACCTTGGCCAGATGGCATACAATTTCAGAGGTTATCTCTGAAAAATAAAGTTCAGGCTAAGTGATACAAACCCTGCCCACTTTGGGCTTGTCCATAGGGATTGCCAACTACTGTTTTTCCTCCACCATTATGTCATCCCTAATCGGAAGTCCGGGGGGGGGGGGAATTCCTCTGGTCCTCCTCAAATCTAGACTAAGCACCAACTCATCCTACTTTAAAGTGATACCTGTGGTTTCAGGAGTTTCAGGGAAAGTTGTATGGAGGAAGCCAGTGGAAAATTGCCCTTCATTGACTGGCACCCGAGGCAGCAGCTGAGGAGGAGGCAGCTCCATTGAATCAAAGTGTGAGGCAGCAATAGAGACTGAGCTGGGAGAAATGGAGGCTGAGGGGCGTTCCATCAGTCCACCATAGGCACCTGGGAAAGGAAACATTACAAGCTGGGCTTAGCTGGAAAATCAAAAAAATAGGAAGCTCACTTCCCTTTATTCAGGATACTACTTATAAGCACTGTGTGCGTAGAGCTCGAAATATTGTTAGAGACCCCATACACCTGCTTCATGGTCTGTTTTTGTTGCTCCCCTCTGGGTTTCAAAGTATTTATAGAAGGACTACTAGATTCTGTAACAGCTTTGTTCCTTATGCCACTCGTCTTTTAAATTTGCAGGATTTTCTTTTTTCGCCATGTATATGTACACATTTGAACTAGACTGTGATGTTTTTCTGTGTCATATACGTGTGTGTAAGTGGGTATATGTATAATGGTTATCTTTTGAGAGCAGAATGCAACCAAATTTCATTTTAATGTTTGATGATTAGTGTACATTTAAAATGACAATAAAGTTTCTGTTTTATTCCATTCCATTCTATACATGATTACAATGAGTTGAAACAGACAAGAAATACTGAATATGAATACGTCTAGATCCTTCCTTAGACTTTCTTAATGCCTCATTTTTTCATTTATGCTTTTCAGTCAGAGAGAAAAATCTTCCTTCTCAATCCATGCTACTACCTTATATTTCTTCTCTCTCTTATACAGGTAGTCCTTGACTTACCACCATTCGTTTAGTGACTGTTCAGTTTCAATGGCAGCAAAAAAGTGACTTACAACTGATTCTTGCATTTACAACCGATGCAGTGTCCTCACCGTGATGGCATCAAACTTTGGGTGCTTGGCAACTAGACTGTATTGACCCCACTTGCAGCCTCCTGGAGTCATGTGAACACCATTTGTGGCCTTCCTAACCAACTTGTAGCGAGTAAAATTAATGGAAGAAGCAAGATTCACTTAATGACTGTGTGATTCTTTTAATAATTGCAGTGATTGTTTAACAACTGTAGTAAAAAAAGGTGGTAAAATTGGGCATAACTCACTTAACAACCACTTTGCTTAGCAACAGAAATTCTGCTCTCACCTGTAGTAATAAGACGAGGACTATAGGTAGTCCTCAACTTACAATCACAATTGAGCCCAAAATTTATGTTGCTAAGTGAGAAATTTGTTAAGTGAGTATTGCCCCGTTTTATGACTTTTCTTGCCACATTTTTTTAAGAGAATCACTGCAGTTGCTAAATTAGTAACACGGTTGTTACGTGAATCCTGTTCCATTTTCTAAAAACCAGGTCATTTCCTCTTCCAAGGTTCATAACTGCACTTTGTACCTATACGCTATTCCCAAAGGAGGTGAGGTGTCTTTGCCATCTCAAAATAGCACACGGTTTGTTTTTAAATCTACAGCAAACGGAAGCACTAGCTGACTGTGGCAGATTCTGAAAAAAGTTAAGAAAGGCCAGAGCTGATTATTACTTGGCTGGGAGACCACCAGGAAACTCTACAGTTGCAGGCTTGATTGGAAGTTGGAGACAACCATGGAAAAATACTTCTATATTGTTGCCAATATAGCATGGTTTTTTAAATTTTTACCTATTTTTCTTGAGAAATTAGTAGTGTTTATCAAAATTTTATTTGGTTTTCTTTTCATAAATATCAAATCCTGGATTTAATACTAATTTACATTTTCTCATGTGCTTATCTTGAATGTTGTGCCTTAAAGCTATTTTTGGTATAATGTGTAAAAAAAGCCATACTAAATAAATTTTAATGGTGAGCAGTTATTGCTGGATTGCCACAGCATCCTAGAACGTACAGATTCAATTGAGATTTACTGACTCAAGCTCACACAATCAACTTCTTATATGCCTGAGATTTGAACTCTGGTCTCCCCAGTTCTGATTTTAGAGTCACACCCTATGGTGACTCCACCTATATTTTAAACAATCTAGAAAAATATTCTTGGTTAAAAAGAAACCTGAAGTTTTTAATTAAAAAAAAGTCCATCCAATATTTAAATGGCTTAGGATAAATTTCTATGGGCTGGTATCTTTGCTTAGTGTAGCTGGTAATCTGATCTAGACAGAAGTTCAGAAGGCTATTATAATACTTCCTCTATTTAAGACACTCCTCAGCTTCACATTAGTCAATTATTTATATGTCATTTTTCAATCAATGTTCACTGTTATTTTAATTTAGTCAACCCCAGAAAGCAAAGTCAGGCAAAGGAATGGAAAAAACCCACCCTAGTTTCATTATTGATACTAATGAAATAGTGACTTTGGTTCCAGCAAGCCTATATAGCTAGACCTATCAGATACAGATAGTCTCAATTTACAACTGGAGGCCTGTACAGATCCATGGCAAAAGGCTTTGCAAACAGAGGGATGGCTTCTCCATTTGCAAAACTTTTTGCCACGGATTTTATTCAGGGCTTGGTTCACATGAGATCAGTAGCGCAAGATATTGCAATACTTTAGGCCTTTGTTCTCCACAATTGCACTGAAGCAGGTAAAAGAACCGAGGACTTACTAAATCATCACAAGGTGAGTTTCCACAGGTCTAAGTGGGAATGATTGCTTTGATGCTGCAACATTTGTAATTCAGGACTGTGTTATAAGTACTTGGGAGTTTATGTTGTAACTTCAAATGGGCACTAAGTGAACTGTCGTAACCTGAGGATTACCTGTATTCTAATACAAACAGACTGACTGCACACAAAGACATCATTGGAAAGCCTGTTTGTATTTACCAAGAGATTAACAAGGAATAACAGTGTGGGTATATGTTGTGCTGAATACACACCTTGACTGAGTTGTTCATTGCTCTCACTTGGCACCATGGGAAGTTCCCGGCTGGGCATGCTATCTGAGTGATTCATGCATGGCTGCTCCAGGCTATCAGTACTTTCTCTGTGGAGACAAGTAGCATTAGCAATGTTTCCATAGTCCAAGGCCACATATATCTAACCATATGATGTTGGCCATGGCAAAGAAAGATTCTACTTCTTGTTATATCAATCAAGTCACACTATGCACCTGATAAAGTGCTCACTAGTATTTAAGCCTTTTAATAAAAGATATTATTTAGAAAAGAGTAAAAAGTTAAGATAACCTGGAGCTCTTATCCGATTGCTTGTTTAAAAGAGTAAGAATTGTGTACCTGTTCCATAGCCATCCAAACCTCAGGGTTGCACCACCACTGTTCAATTAAGATATAGTAAGAACATTATTGTTAATACCTGCATATCTGTTCTCTCTCTCACTCTTACCCTAATCTTCCTTCTATAAGCTGTCATGAGAAATTGTTTCATATAAAACTGGATAATGAATCATATTGTTTGTTATTATGTCCTGGTCTGTGTAGAAAAAACCAAGCCAGCATTACCAATAATGAGAGATGATAAAGTTGTTGTCTAAACATCTGAACAGTTGCACATTTTTCACATCTGGTCTATTTTATAGAACTAGCAACTCTACAGAGGGAACGTCTCAGTCTCCCATCATGTTTTTGTTAGGCCATATCACTCTTCTCTCTTTACTTGTTGACTGAATCTGGGACTTTAAACCTGTACATGTATTCCACCACTGAGCTGTGGCCTTTCTTGATGTTTAGATTAACTTACCCCAGGCCCATGCATTCTTGAATGTCAGCCAACCATGATCGCATCTGCAGTGAGTCAACAGTCTCAAGGATATACTCCAAGGAACTTGATAGCTTGGAAAAAGGGGAAAAATAATAAATACCCAACATTCTAAGATGAGTTTTATTCTAATGCCCCATTTCCCTCTGAAAGGATGAACTCGAATCAGTGAGGATAGACTTGAAAAACACCCAACTGAGTTGAATTGAATGAAGACCTGATCTCCATCCCATTCATTTCTTAGCTCTCTCAGTTTTGGCTTTAGTACAGCTTTTAATAATATTTCAATCTGTGTAGTTTTATTGTTTTAATTATTTTTACTTTCAGACTACCCAGAGTCATTTAGCAGGGGAGACAGGTGGCATAAAAATGTAATAAATAAATAAAAAATAAATTTTCAAGAATTATGCATGCACGTAAGCACAATTCAAATCCAAGGGCTTAATCCATCTGTTCCTATCTTAAGGTGGTTACATACACAGACAAAATATCAAGAACTTCATCTCTGGCTTTTGATAGAAGAGCTCCAACACTAATCAAAATCAGCAACCAAAAAGATATTTTAGCAGCTGATTACTCCTCCCTTCATTCAGCTTTGAATTCTTTGCTAGATGCATTTGTGGTTATCTGCTTGAATTCCCAATGGTTTTAAAATTTAAGAATTACTGAGAACCCAAATCCCTTTCATCAACATGCATATTCTCCATCATTTAAGAAATCTCTTTATATACAAAAGGGTAGATGGATTCCTCTCCTCCCAAAGACACAAAAAAAATTTGGAAGGAGTAAATCTGCTCAGAAATATCACCACTGCCAAATGTAAAAAACATTGTTAAAGAGGGAAGATAGAAAGGACCATTAATTTTCTTTAATGAAAATGCAAGAGGCAAGAAGCAGACAACTGCTAAAAACAAACTCCAGCCCGAGGTTAGTGATGGATTCTGATTCAACAGAAGAGGAAATTCAATTCTACACATCCCTTGGCTATAAATACATAACTACTAAGGTTGCAATTATTACCAAATTTTAACTGTACCCCATCAATCTTTTTCTGACCTTCAGCACAAAAGTGTTCTCTTTGTCTGGCATCTCCAGTGGAGTTGTTGTTCGTACATCCATTACACAGGAACAAGCAATGCTGACCCGTGGCTTTGTTGCCTAATGGTTGGGGTAGAAAAAAAAAAAAAGACCGTTGTAATGATATTCTCAAGGCCTAAATTAGGAATCCCAAACTTTTGACTTCTCCCCATGACTCTTTTCTTGCCTGAGCACAATGACTCATTGCTTACCTTTGGTGGGATGTAGAACTCCAGCAGGTAACCCTCCCCTTCTCCCTTCCCTGCTTTGCGCAGGAGAAGACGGCATTTCTGCCAGCGTGTCCTACTGCCCCCGCCTGACCCATCATCAGCCACAATATAGTTCAGTAGGCCTTCCCGGCGCACACTAGCCAGTTCGACTCGGAGAGCGGCTGGAGAGGCTTTGTTGAGTCGAAGACGTTCAAATCGGTGAGTCCAACGCTCTGAGTCACCGCCCCCTGAAGAATTGGAATTACTGTTGGCTCCAGTGGGTGTCCCATCTCCACCACCAGAGGATTCAGCCGAGGTCTTCCACTGCAGAATGCCACGTACGCTACCTCGGACACTGCGGCTAACACTGCGCAAAGAAAAGCGCTTCTTCAGCTTTGGCTTTGTAGCGGTAACGGCTGCCACACCAGAAACATCTTCAGAGCTGCGGGACTGACTGCTAGAGAGACCAGAGGGTGGGCCCAATGGAGGCTCCACAGGGGAAGCCACTGAGGAGTCACTGCAGGTCTCCGAGAGGTCCCGTGCAGAAGAACAACCAGTGAAAGGAGCGATGTCACAGCGGGGTGGCGAGTCACTGGTGTAAGCCCGGCTCACCTCAGCCTCAAAATGTTCTAGGAAGTGCTCTGCAAAGCGGTGTGAGAAAGCAGCTTCAGCTCCTGGGGTGGCAAACTGGGGGTTCTCACCAAGAAAAGTCCGGAAACGACGGGCAAAATCAACTGCAGCAGCGCGAGCATGGACTTCACAGAATTCCCGCCAACCCAAGGAGGGGAGAGAGGCAGGTTCTCCCACCATCCCTCCCTCAACTGGTGATAATGGCAGTGCGCTTCCGTTCATGACCACCCAGGTAGGGCTAGGTAACAATACATCCAGTGCCAGGATTGGATTGCTATTGGTATCAGTGGCCTTGTGACCTGAAGAGGGAGAAACAGAAGAGTTATTATAAGCTATCGGGTAGAAACCATCTGCATAAATAATGTCATTTCAGGGATTTTTTTAACGAACCGTTTCCTTTTCATGCATGTTTCTTATTAATCAACAGAGGGTTGTTGATTTTTTTGTCTTTGTTTGATTGAGCACTATACCCCTAACAGCTTTACACTTCTGAGCATTTCACACATGCTTAAAGGCTTAAGATATCAGTCTTAAAAACCAAAATAATAGAAGTCAGAGTATTTTAAAAAATGACATAATGAAGAGAGCCACTTTTCCATCAGAAACATAATTGTAAGAATCTGTGGAAACAAGGCACGAACAATTGTGTAAAAGAATGATGTAAAGCTTGTACATTTTGGGATAGCAGAAGCAATGTTGTCTAGATAACTGGGCTAGCTAAAAATAAGCACTGTTCCTTAGTGAAAGCACAGCTAAATATTATTTTCTAGACAAAATAAATTCTCAGAGGCAAGTATCACCCTATATTTATTGTATGGATGAGGGGTGATTGGGTCACAATGGCGTAATAAATCTTACCATCAAGACTGAACCATCATACTTCTGTATAATTAATACAGGAAAAAACAAAGATTGGTAAATATAAATTGCAGTACATTGGCAAGTTTCCATTAGATGAATGCCGGATATTGAGACTTCCAAAGAATGCTGAGACCAAATACATTATAGGGTGATCTTAATTTGCAAGATATTGCATTTTGGATAAAAATGCATACTCCTGAAAATTATACTTCTTTTGCAAATTTAAATACATCTGTTGAAATGGTATTTCTAACAAATTTAAGATTCAGTCAACCATCCCCTAAAATAGATAAAAGATTATGCTTAAGTACCTCATGAACATATGCAGTGTAGTTCTTATTATAGTATTTCCCATGCTTGAAATCATTTTTACACAGAGCGCCTGCATATCAAGGGAAAAACTTTTAATGTTTTATATGGAGGGAGTTTTCAGTCTAAGCATGTCTTTTCAAACCAGTGACCTATTTGTATTTTCAAAATGTCAAAACCTCAAAAAAAGAACTACCATCAACTGTCAACTCATTTGGTAAAACATACATCTATAAAGGTTTCACGCAAGAACCTAACTCTTTCCACAGTATAGCTAACTCTCAAAAGCTATTTGTATAATTATGCAATTAAATCTTTTCATGTTCTTTGAGACTAGTCAAAATGTTGTGTTCTCACAAAAGAGAACATACTTATTATCTCTGTTCTCCCTTAGGAACAGCTTAGGTCACTTTATTAATTTTTATCCCATCATTGTTATTTTTGGAAGTAACTCAAAGCAGCGAACATACCTAAAACTCCTTCCTACTATTTTCCCCCACAACAATCATATGAGGTAGGTTGGGCTGAGAAAGAACATCAATGGCCCCAAGTTGAGTCAGCTTTCATGGCTAACGCAGGACTAGAATAATTGATTATATTCAATAGAACCTGAACTATTTTATAATCTACTAGCTCGATACCCGTGCTTCGCTATGAAACTATGTGATCGGGCTTGGTTTTTGGAGAGGAAAATAAGGGGGGAAAATTCTGCCTCTGACTATCAGCATCCATCAGTGTTCATCTGGCTAGCATCCTGTCAGTGTTTGAGAGAGTTGAGAGCTGTTTGGAAACTGAAACAGTATTTGCAAGGAGACAGCAAGGAGCCTGGGTGTGGCTTAGCTCAACTGTTCTGTACTAAAGCTGCTTGGTGCTGTGAAACTGAAACTAAAACTCCTCTCCTCTGCTTGTGTTTTGCATTTGGAACAGATTTCTTTTCAGTTGGGGAGGGGGAGCTAGAACTCCTTAGCATCAGAGTGTATAATACACAAAATAGTAATACTCTGATGGTCATTTCGAAAAATCCTCTCCTAGAAGCCAAGAGGAACATACATGCCAAAGTTTCAAGTTTGTAGACTTTATGGTTCTGGAGATTCTGTGATGATGCGTAAATGGTATTTCGCTTTTATATATATAGATTCTCTAGACCAGGGCTGTCAAACTTACGGCCTGCAGCCCAGATGCGTCATGTGCTGGCAACACGCATGCCCAGTTTGGTGAAGGGGGAAAGTCGCGATACATCATATGACAATGCCATGACAATACAAGTTTGACACCATTGCTCAAACCTTTGGTTTTTTAAAATGAAAGTAGATACTATCCAGTTCAGCAAACATGCTGAATCATCCTTGAAATGTGCATTTCTTTGAACATGGATCAGCATAAGTAGGAAAACATATATCTAATGAAGAACAAAATAAATGTTGTGGGATGGTCCTGCCTATATAAAGAAAGGTCCTACAACTGAAATTTTCTTGTGGCAATATCTTTTAGGCATGTAACCAAGGACTTAGAAATGCCATTAAATACATGGGATTGTGGGGGGGTTTTGCATGAAAAACAAAAGCTCTGAGATGCAGTACTTTTTCCGAGGTTTAGGCATTAGAGCAAAAATTGACAGACGAGCAACACCACTAGCTAAAGATATTGGAGCGGAAGAAGCTTATCTGCAAGCAATAATGTGCAGACTGGAAACGCGGGAGTTGCTTGTCACATGCATTTCAAAGAAAGGGCGTTACACTCCGTAAAGACCTCCTGCATCGGAGTGAACCGATTCACATGACGTGGCTCCTTTCTCGTTACGCTCCTGCTGACGGGAAAAGCCCCGCACGCTGCTGCTGCTGCTGCTTGCGCGCTTCAGAACCTGCCCGCGCGGTTGTTTGGTGGGAAGCCGCTTGATTGACGAGTATCACTGTCGTACGTTGAGCTAGCCTGCGAAGTAAAAGAAACCCCCCCACACACACACCTCCAGACCCTGGACCTAGCAACCCAAGACATCCCACTTGAGGGAGGGACGGGGAGAGAAGACGAGCCTTCTCAAGGGCGGACATGGGAGCCGAACGGAGGGGAAACGGTCTCCGTGCGACCGGGAATAAGAAAAGGGGCCTCGGTTCGGCTGGGCGCATCTGTCACTCACCATCTCGGCCTTGGGTTCCTTCCAGGAGAAAGGGTTTGTCTGTCCCCCTATCTCACTCTCACTGGCTTTCTTGCACTATTTCCGCTTCCGGGTTTGTTTATTTATTTATTTTTTTGGTCGTCGGTGTCAATTGTTTTCCTGTTTTCATTTCCGTCTTCGTCATCAACTCAGAGGAAAAAAAGGCCGAAGCGACGAAAACAACGAGCTTTACCATAGAGAGTAAATGGACCCGGCTAGAAGGGTCACTGGAAATTCAGAGACTCTGTTAACGTAAGCTGTTCTCCGTTGGACGCTGCGTCCAAATCGTTACCATGGCGGCCCGTGACGTAGATTGACGAACGCTCGTGGGACGCGGAGAGAGTAGGGGAGTTCTTTGGTAGTGAGCGTCTTGCTTCGGTTGCTCGGGCAACGATATATGCGGAACTCTCCGCCTTTCCGCAATTCCCCGAATGGTAACTAGGAAGTACTGTAAACGCCACGCCATACACATTGTTCTTATACCAAGGCTGGAAGTGCTTGTATGCGACTTTTGAGCATATGCAGAGTGCTTTCTCTAAGGAAAACCTTCTGTCAACCTACACTGTGGAATTTTCACACCAAAAAGGCTAATTCCAAACCTGGCCATCTATCCTTTTCCCCCTCCCCACTTTTTTATGATCCACGCTTCAATTTGAGAGTCCATTTATAGCCAGATTCACTTAACCATATTACTATCTTAACAACTGCAGTAAGCCACTAAACAACTGTGGTAAGATAGGTCATAAAATGGGGCAAAATTCACTTAACAAGTGTCTCACTTAGCAACATAAGTTTTGGCTTCAATTGTGATCATAAGTTGAGGACTATCTTTATGTTCTGATAATGTCAGTGTTCAGCATAGCATCCAGAACCAGTCAGTCACAGGGGAAGCAGGAAGCCAGGGTGAACTGTGCGAGGGAGAAATTTTAAGAAGGTGTAGCAGCACCGTGTAACAGCACAACTCAGTGGCCATGGAAAAGCATTAGAAAACTGCCTTCCGCCAAAAATTTGTGTAGGGACAGAATCTCCCTCCTGCGATCTCTACACCAAGAGCTGGGAAATGCAAGGAGACCCTCTTGATAGTCGGCAGTATACAGGTGGGGCTGATGAGAATATGAGACTGATATGAGCCAAAGATCTGTACTCTGGCTCCGCATCAGCCAGGCATAGTTTCATTTTTGGATACTATCTTGCATTTACACCCAGGGGTGAGATTCTACCGGTTTAGACCGGTTCTATAGAACTGGTTATTATGATTCTGCGCAGTTCAGAGAACCAGCAAATCGCACCACTGGCTGGCCCCGCCCCTCTCCACCTACCCCTTCGTTCCCCGCCCAGTCAGTCCTTATCACGCATGCGCAATATGGCTGCCTGTAGTCTGCTTTTGCCCACCCGCCATGCCAGCCATTGCTCCCTGCCTTCGTGATCGGTGAGTGAGGTTTTGCAAGCAAGCCCCAATCGCCTACCTGTTGATGCTAGTCACCTTTCCTCCCGCACTTGCCTTTTGCCACCGCTGCCAGTCACCTTCACCCCCCTGACTTGTCTTCTCTGGAGAGCACATGGAGCAGTTTTGTGTCGGCTCCGGCAGGTCAGCGGTTGCTTCTCTCCCCTGCTGGTCTAGAACGAGAGTCTCTTTCCCAGCACAGCAAAATTTAGTTTTGGGTCCTGCAAGTCCCCATCAGGAAACGGTTCCGGGCAGCAGAGAAGCAGACAAGTTGAATCCTGTTCTTTTCTGCTACCTGGAGCCATTTCCTGAAGGGATGGGGACTTGCAGAACACAAAGCAGCAACTCCCAGTTGCTAAAGTAAATTTTGCTGTGCTGCACAAAATGGTTTCCCAGGGTCCCGAGGGCCGTCCTCCCAGAGCGCTGCCACCGCCAATCTGAAGCTCCCCTTTGGGATGGATCAGTAAGTTCTTGCTTTGTTCCCCAGGAACGGCTCCGTCATGGAGGGCTGTGTATTTGGGCAAGGTGCTTTCTGTCAGGTATCCTGCCTCGCATGGGGCAACGGGAGGAGGAAGTGTGTGGTGGGGAAGGCTGTCTGCAGTTCTTGCAGCCACAGTCTGGAATCCTGGGGTGTCTGCAAACTTGCATTTGTATGAGGTCAGACCTCCACGGCTGCACTGGCTGGGAAGACATTTGCCCCATGTGACACTGCTCACCTGTCTGGCCAGTGTGTCAGAAGAGAGGGAGGAAGAAAAACTTGGCAAGTCTTCCCCTTCTTGGGGAGAGCATGGACATGTGAGGCTGGGACCTTCTGTGCATGGGCGAGTCCCTCTGGCGCCATGCAGACATAATGTGTGCACGGCCTGCTCTGTGTGTATGCCTGAGAAGGAGGAGAAGAGTTGGCGAACTTTTCTTCCTCCCTTCACAGCACAGCTGCCGCAGCCTGTCCCTTTAAGGTACCTCAACGTGGGGTGGTGGTGAGCGGCGACCATAAAGAGATAGCCAGGCCACAGGCACTGTCTTCCAAGCAACTCTGCTGAGAAGGGAAGGGAAGAAGAAAAGTTCGGCAACTCTTCTCCTTCTCGGGTAGAGCGTGCACATACGGTGCCGGGAGGATCTTCTGCAAGAAGTCGGCATGTGGGTGAGTCCCACCAGCACCGTGAGATGCGTGACTATTTGCTCTGTATGTATGAGGCCGAGAAGGAGGAGGGAAGCAGCCAGATTGAATATTGTTAGTGTGGCTGCAGAGAAGCAGGAGGCAGCTGCCAGCGATGCCCTCATGTGAAGATGTTGGGAGCAGGGAGGCTTGACCCCCTCAGGAGCCGTGAAGCGCTCACCACCCCTCTGACACCCACCAAGTCTCCTCCCAATGCGCTTCTCTTCCTCCTCACCGGAAGCGTTATTTTTGGGGAGACTGCAGGATTGCCCCACTCCCTGCCAGCCATCTGGTATTCAGTACTGGTTTGTCAGATTACCATCACCCAGCACCAGTTCATATGTTCCTTCCCCCCCCCCAGGGACAGGGAGAGGGAGGGAGGGAGGGAAAGAGAGAGAGAAGAGACAGAGAGAGAGAGAGAGAGAGAGAGATGAGAGAGAGAAAGAGATGAGAAACAGAGAGATGAGAAAGAGGGGGAGGGAGAAAGAAAAAGAGATGAGAAAGAGAAAGAAAAAGTGATGAGAAAGAGAGATGAGACTGATGAGAAAGAGAGGGAGAAAGAAAAAGAGAGATGAGAGAGAAAGATGAGGGGAGGAGAAAGAAAGAGACACACATAGAAAGAGATCTGTTTAAAAGAAAATAGAAAAATGGCTCTTTGAGTGTTTAAGATTGCATACCCCGGGTTAGGCAAACACCATGGTTGTTAAGTGAACCTTCTGGTCATTAAGAGAACAGTGGTTGTTAAAAAAGTCCCTTTTCCCTAATGGGCATTTTTAACTGGAAACCAAAAGGAATTGTTGGAAACTGGAAAAAAACTAGAAAACCTAAGTCACATGACTGTGGGATGTTGTAACTGGTCATAAGAGTGTATGTGTGTGCGTGCGTGCGTGTGTGCATGGCTATCAAAACTCCAAAAACAGGTCAAGTAGCTCTGGGGAGGTCAGTCATAAATTAGAACACTTGCTAAGCAACTGGCCATTAAGCGAGGACCACGTATATTTGGTTCACCAGTCACATGGCCACTAGCCATGCCTACCCGTCATCACATGACCACCTAGCCATACCAATTCGTCACATGACCACCAAGCCACATCCACAAATAAGGCCACACCCACAGAACCAGTTATTAAGAAATTTGAATCCCACCCGTTTATGCCTGAGGCAGAACAGCTGCCACTGCTACGTAGCTGAATATCACCACCTGCCAGAGTGCCATTATTGCCAAAATAAATTTTTGTAAGAGAGGGAGGGAGAGAGGGAGAGGGCGGGGGACACCAGCAAGGTGTGAAATGCCACTTTAACCACTACATCAAGCTGGCATATACTGTCTCCCCTGTTTTGTCCATATATTTATTAATTTTTACTTTTATTTAGAAAATTTATATTGCCATCTACTCGCACATGGTAACTCAAGGCGGCTTACAGGAATATAAAAACACCATATAAAAGAAAAAATAATAAAAAGAAAAGTAATAAAATAATAACCCCACATCCCGGTAAAAGCACACATTCATACTAGCCATTTAATGTGCTCCATCCCGCTCTGGGTTCTCCACGTTTGCTGATAGAACCACGTCTTCAGTGCCTTCCAAAAGAGTGTTAAGGTGGGGGGCAGTCTAATCTCTAGTGGGATAATGTTCCAGAGAGAGGAAGCCACCACAGAGAAGACCCTTCTTCTGGGTCCCACCAGATGTATTGCCTTAGGGGACCGGACCCATAACATTCTTTGACTCCCCACTCTAGTGGGTTAGGTAGATGTGACCAGCAAGCGATAGTCCCTCGGATTACCTGGTCCCAAGACATGAAAGGCTTTAAAAGTGACAACCAGCACCTTGAATTGCACCCAGAAGCAAATTGGCAACCAATGCAGTTCCTGCAGGAGAGATGATACATGTACACACTGAGGTCTGCACAAAACTATGCGAGCTGCTGATTCCAAGTAGCGTCTGCAACTCCTTCACAGCTAAGAAGACCCTCTCACAGCTGCACTAACTCCCAGTCCCAAGACAGCTTAGCACTACCTTCCATACCAACTTAATGTAGGTATGGGATGGGTGCTGCTTTTATTTTAGGGGTGTTCCCTATCTCAGGGGTCCCCAACCGC